CTATTGCATCATGACAATTCAAAGCAGAAGTAAGCATATATCGATATGGGCTGAAATAGCACAAAAAAAAGATAAACCTTACATTTTATTGCTGAAAATGTGTTATGTCATAGTAAAAACTGAAGTGAAATAAAGAGTAGAAAAAAACATCTATCAGTGAATCTCAGAAAAAGTGCAGTTTATTACTTATGTCTTTAATTTACAATAACATATAAATAATGTATAATAATAATACATCACAAAATGAAAATTTGAGTTTGATCTTATTTTAAAACCTCAATAATTTTTCCTTTGTTGAAGTTTGGTAATGGGAACCCCAATACTACAGTCCGGTTTAGAGTTTGTTTGCATTGTTATACGAATGTCATATTATGTTATAGAAACATAGAATGTGACGGCAGATAAGAACCATTTGGACCATCTAGTTAGCCCAATTTTCGAAATCCTTTTAATGAGTCCATTGCCTTATTCTAGGATAGCCTTATGCCTATCCCTCGCATGCTTAAACTCCCTCACTGTGTTAACCTCTACCACTTCAGCTGGAAGGCTATTCCATGCATCCACTACGCTCTCTGTAAAGTAACACTTCATGAAATTATTTTTAAACCTTTGCCCCTCTAATTTCTTTGCCCCTCTTGTTGTGGTAGTATTTCTTTTTTTTAATATAGTCTCATCCTTTACTGTGTTGATTCCCTTTATGTATTTAATTGTTTCTATCATATCCCCCCTGTCTCGTCTTTCCTCCAAGCTATACATGTTAAGATCCTTTAACCTTTCCTGATAAGTTTTATCATGCAATCCATGAACCAGTTTAGTAGCCCTTCTCTGGACTCTCTCTAAGGTATCAATATCCTTCTGGAGATATGGTCTCCAGTACTGCGTACAATGTTCTGTACACTGGCATGAGCCCTTCCCTCTGTCTACTGCTAATACCGCTCCCTATACAACCAAGCATTCTGCTAGCATTTCCCGCTGCTCTATTACATTGTCTGCTTCCTTTAAGTCACCTGAAATAATTACTCCTAAATCCCTTTCCTCAGATGTTGAGGTTCCTAGGGTATAAAATATTCTATACTCTGCCCTTGGGCTTTTACGCCCAATATGCATTATCTTGCACTTATCTACATTAAATGTCAGTTGCCACAGCTCTCACCATTTTTCTAATTTATCTAAATAATTTGCCATTTAGCTTATCCCTCCTGGAACATCAACCCTGTTGCAAATTTTAGTATCATCAGCAAAAAGACATACCTTACCATTAAGACCTCCTGCAATATCACTAAAAAAAAGAGAGTCCAAGTATAGATCCCTGAGGTACCCCACTCTGTTGACTACATCCCTCTGTTGCCTGTCATTTAGCCACTGCCTAACCCATTCACCAGTATTGGAATCCAAACTTAAAGGGACACCATAGTCACCAGAACAACTACAGCGTATTGAATTTGTTCTGGTGAGTAGAATCATTACCTTCAGGCTTTTTGCTTTGAACACTGTCTTTTCAGAGAAAATGCAGTGTTTACATTACATCCTAGTGAAAACTTCACTGGCAACTCCCTAGATAGCTGTTAGAGATCCTTCCTGGGTCATGCCTGCCTAAAATGCATGCAAACATTCAGTATCTCCTCCCTCTGCATGCAGACACTGAAATTTCCTCATAGAGATTCATTGATTCAATTCATCTCTATGAGGAGATGCTGATTGGCCAGGGCTGTTTGAATTATGCTGGCTCTGTCCCTGATCTGCCTCCTTCTCAGTCTCAGTCAGCAGCTCTGCCTCTACAAGTAAGTAATACAAGTAAGTAAGTAATACAAGTAAGATTTTACTATCTTTAGGGAGGCAAATGGGGGCCAAAGGGGCTAGATAGTGGTTTTAACACTATAAGGTCAGGAATACATGTTTGTGTTCCAGACCCTATAGTACTCCTTTAAAGATTGCAGTTTATTAATGAACCTTCTATGTGGAACAGTGACAAAAGCCTTACTGAAATCTAGGTAAGCAATGTCTACTGCACCACCCTGATCTATTATTTCAGTTACCCAATCAAAAAAATCAATAAGATTAGTTAGGCATGATCTCCCTGAAGTAAACCCATGTTGTCTCTGATCTTGAAATCCATTTGATTTTAGATGTTCAACAATCCTATCCTTTAATATGGTTTCCATTACTTTCCCCACTACTGAAGTAAGGCTTACTATCCTATAGTTGCCCAACTCCTCCCTACTACCTTTCTTGTGAATGGGCACAACATTTGCTAACTTCCAATCTTCTGGGACTACTCCTGTTAACAATGATTGGTTAAATAAATCTGTTAATGGTTTTTGCAAGTACACCACTAAGCTCTTTTAATAGCTTTGGGTGTATTCCGTCAGGTCCCATTGACTTATTTGTCTTTACTTTTGACAGTTGAAATAGAACCTCTTCCTCTGTAAACTCACATGTAACAAATGACTCATTTGTGCATTTTCCTAACTGAGGCCCCTTCCCTTCATTTTCATCTGTAAATATTAAACAACAATATTCATTGAGGCAGTCAGCTAGACCTTTATCCTCTTCTACATACCTTCCTTCTTTTGTTTTTAATCTAACTAATCCTTGTTTTACTTTCATTTTCTCATTTATGTATCTAAAAATTGTTTTGTCCCCTTTTTTTTTACCAACTGTGCTATTTTCTCTTCGGTGTGTGATTTGGAAGCTCTTATAGCTTGCTTAGCCTCTTTCTGCCTAATCTTATAGATCATTCTGTCTTCCTCACTTTTTTTTGTAATTACTAAATGCTAACTTTTTATTTTTTTATATTTTGTCCACTTCTGCCGAGTACCACAGTGGTTTTTTAATTTTCTGCTCTTCCTGACAAGCCTAATTGAATTTTCTGTTGCTTTCAGTAGTGCATCTTTCAAACTTTTAAATAATCCAATTTTCCTGGACTTCATTTAAACTGCTCCACTCTGACAAGGACTAATTTAGTCCATTTTCTAATTTTAGAAAAGTCTGTTTTTCTAAAATCTAAAACTTTTGTTTTTGTGTGATGTGACCCGGTCACTGTTCTTATATTAAACCACACTGACTGATGATCACTGGATCCTACATTTTCACCTACAGTAATATCTGACACTAAATCTCCGTTTGTTAACACTAAATCTAGAATGGCCTCTTTACGAGTTGGTACCTCAATGACTTGTTTTAGAGACAATCCCAGTAGGGAGTTTAGAATATGTGTGCTTCTGGCACAAGCAGCTATTTTGGTTTTCCAGTTTACATCCAGAAGATTAAAGTCACCCATGATGATAACTTTGCCTTTCATTGTCATTTTAGCTATTTCCTCAACTAGTAGATTATCTAACTCTATTTGTGCAGGGGGCCTGTAAATCACACCTACACGAGTTACTGTATGATTTCCAAATTCTAACGTATGCTAAATACTAGCCGTAACGCCAGTAGATATTTGCAACTAAAAATGGAAAAAGGTCACCTGGCTCACTCCTGCCTTTAATGTCTGCACAGAACTCCTATCTCCAGTGAGAACGACCACCATTTAGCATTTACTATTTTGCAAATTGTACAAAAAGGTTCATTTCCAAAATAATTGCCAGGACAATAGAAAAGTTTTAATCAACCCTTCCAGTGCCACCGTTTGATGCTCTGCTCTTCTCCGTGCATCTTAATAAATTAATTCTCTCATAACCCAGCATGTAATTAGAAAAAAACATATTGGCTTGCTTTATTAAAATAAATAAAAACAAGTGGGTTCCCCAAGACCCCAGTAAGAATAGAAGAGTCTCGGTAAATGCCCTTCTCTCTTCTTCCAACCTATGTGCAGTTTAGTAACTTCCATGTTGTGCTTTCATGCATATGCAAGAGTACAGGGGGACAAGCGCTCCTCGATGGGAAAAGAAAAGCCAGACAAGAGAGAGCTTTGGGTAACTAGAACTCACTTTTACTTTACAGAGTCATTTTAAATTTGTTTATTTATTTTTTTTGCATTGATTTAGTTAACAAATTCTTCTGCAGAGTATACTGTAACTTAGATGTACTCAGCTTGCAATAGCAGGTAGTAATTTAAATATTAGGTGGTAAGATGTTCTCCCAAGCCTATCCAAATGGTATCCCTACAAAACTCATTGTGTACTACTGGGAAAGCTTGTCAACTTCACAAGAAAATCTAGGTTATTTTGGATTTTTGCATAATTTTAAAGGAACACACCACTGCCTAAATACAAATATATATAAAAAAACACTGTTAGATAGTAGATATATCAACAGTGAAACCATGCATGCATTGCATTTTGTAATTTTTTTATTAGGGGTATATAGAAACATAGAAACATAGAAACATAGAATGTGACGGCAGATAAGAACCATTCGGCCCATCTAGTCTGCCCAATTTTCTAAATACTTTCATTAGTCCCTAGGCCTTATCTTATAGTTAGGATAGCCTTATGCCTATCCCACGCATGCTTAAACTCCTTTACTGTGTTAACCTCTACCACTTCAGCTGGAAGGCTATTCCATGCATCCACTACCCTCTCAGTAAAGTAATACTTCCTGATATTATTTTTAAACCTTTGTCCCTCTAATTTAAGACTATGTCCTCTTGTTGTGGTAGTTTTTCTTCTTTTAAATATAGTCTCCTCCTTTACTGTGTTGATTCCCTTTATATATTTAAATGTTTCTATCATATCCCCCCTGTATCTTAAAACATCTCACAAAAGCTGCACTTCTCTTTTCTGCTGCCTTTGCAAGCCCACCCCCTTTTCCCTAGCCCAGCCTTTCACAAGCAGAAACGGCTGCATTGGGCAGAAAAATACATGAAGACTAATTTTCAAACTGTCCTGTTCACTGATGAGTGCCGTGCAACCCTGGATGGTCCAGATGGATGGAGTAATGGATGGTTGGTGGATGGCCACCCTGTTCCAACAAGGCTGCAACGTCAGCAAGGCGGTGGTGGAGTCATGTTTTGGGCCGGAATCATGGGAAAATAGCTGGTCGGCCCCTTTAGGGTCCCCGAAGGTGTGAAGATGACCTCTGCAAAGTATGTGGAGTTTCTGACTGACCACTTTCTTCCCTGGTACAGAAGGAAGAACTATGCTTTCCGTAATAAAATCATCTTCATGCATGACAATGCACCATCTCATGCTACAAAGAATACCTCTGCATCAATGGCTGCTATTGGGATAAAAGGAGAGAAAGTCCTGGTGCGGCCTCCATCCTCCCCTGACCTCAATCGTATTGAGAACCTTTGGAGCATCCTCAAGCAAAAGATCTATGAAGGTGGGAGGCAGTTTACATCCAAACAGCAGCTCTGGGAGGCTATTCTGACATCTTGCAAACAAATTCAAGCAGAAACTGTCCAAAAACTCACAAGTTCCATGGATGCAAGACTTGTGAAGCTGCTTTCAAATAAGGGGTCCTATGTTAAAATGTAACATGACCTGTTAAAATGTTTAAAAAGTTAAAATGTTGTTATAAGTTTGATTGAAATAGCTTTTGATTTCAGCAAATATGCTGCAAACACAAAAAATGACAATTTTCAGTTCTTTACAACCTATAAAGTGTTTTGAAACTTACTGTGTGTAATAATTTGGAACAGTGCATTGTAAGTTTTTTATGTTTAAAAAAAATACTGTTATCATTAGGAGGCTTGTTCAATAAAATTTGAATTGTACTCTTAATAGTTGATAACATGAGAATTATGCTGACTGTTATTTACATCAATTATTTATATTTTGGTAAATGAGAAAAATATCATTTGCATAATAATTTGGAACAGGGTGTAAAGCATTTCAGCAAGCTAAAGTGTTTTGGGGTTCTGGAGTTTAATGTATATAATTATTTGGTCAATGAATTGCACAAATTAGCATTCAGGCAGATTTAGGAATTTTAAGTGACATTGCTGATAGAATTCTGGCCGATGCCGGTATTGCAGTGCATTTTCAATCACACGAAAAATAGCAGAACAAGCTGAAAAATCCGGGGGAGGGTGGGGCAAGTGCTTGTTCCCCTGCAGACGCCCATGAATATAGTGTTCATTTCTTTACTAAGTTTCACATAGTTCACCTGATAGAGCGGTGATATTTGTATTAAGTAAGCTGTACTCCCAAAAGAGTCAGATGGTCAGTTCTCCAATCATATGTATATTGATTTTTTAAATTATTTTTATTTAGCTTTGGTTTATTTGTGAACACCTGAGGTGATTTTTTTTTTCCCTCAATTTTTACCCAAGAAGTATGATGGCCTGGTACACTTGGGTAATAGCTTGGGATTAGGAAATATACCTGTTTGAACTGCATCGGTCCTCCAAACATAGCATTTTTTTATCATAGCAAAACAAGAGTAATTCTGATACTGCATGGTAAATTAGTAACAAACAGCCGGCATTATATCCCATTATTTTTATACTATTGCTCTAAAATTACTACTCTATGCCCTGTTTGTTCCAGTTTTGTCTCTGTGTCATTGTCCCCTTCTCCATGACCTCTCTGTGTCATTGTCCCCTTCAACAGCCTCTTTACCGTGACACCGTCTGCTTGGCCATGCTACATGAAGTGACTGGCAGGTAAGGGAGTGCAATGCTCTTTCCTCCTACCGGTGACATGAAGCCCAGATATTGCGCCACACCGATGCGCCTTTAGGTGCCGCCTGTTCTGCCTTTTAGTAGCGCCAGCCCTGCATTCAGGGTATTTGCATTTGAATCGTGAATGAGAAGGAAATCACTGGGTCAATAACTGTGGCAGGGAAATAAGACAGATATCCTATGTGAACCTACTACACTTTTAAATACACAATTTAATTTAATTTATGAAAATGTTTATATTTGTACATACAATACATCTTTAATAACTTTCTCCTTGGGTTCAGTGCCACTATACCCTCCTCAATCACAGTTAGACAACTCTACACTCATTCAGCCCTCATACATAATCACAATTCAGTCCTCACATAAACAATTATATCCAGCCAGCCCCAGACACACACACACACAGTCCAATTTGGCCAAAGTCAATCACACTCACACATGCTCACATACTCAGCCAACCCTCACACAATCACACTCAGCAAAACCCTGTACACTATCACATTTTGGCAACTTCACACACAGTCGCGTTCAACCAGCCGAAAACACACAATTTAATTCAGCCAGTCCCACACAATCACACTCAGCCAACTCCACATATACATATCAGACAAAGCCAAACACCACATTTACACTCAGCTATCATACACATGCTAATTAGGTGTATTTCTTTGGGTGGAGCGAAAAGGGCCTAGTTGCATGCAACAGATCGCGTGGAGGGCACGGGAACATGACACCCATCATATCCCCGGGACCATCATAGTGTGACTACAAGTCAGCACTGGGGATGGGAAGAAGAAGAGCAGACCGTGCTACAATGTAGAGTTCTAGGATGGAGGAGCATAAAATTGCATTATCAATTATTTAATTGATAAGAGAAGAGGAATTAGATGGTATGTAGGAAAGGCAGGAGAATATGAAATTGGAGATAAGAACCAAATGGGAAGGAATTGGTAAAAGAGCAATAGAGAGTGACATGGAAAATGCATTAGCACCTCATAAAGCACTACACAATATACACACACTATACTCAAACTGCATGCACACACTGACACTTCATAGAGATACATCCCATATTTATTCACTGGCTCTCATCAGCAGTGCACCCCACATTCATATACTGGCACTCCAATTTATATAAATATCTCTAAAGTTCACACACTCACAATCCAAAGAAATACACCCCACATTCACATATTGATGCTTCATAGGAATACACCACACTTTCACACACAGATGCATCACAGAAATGCACCCCACATTCACACACTGATGCTCTATATAAATGCATTCTGTATTCACAAACTGACTCTTTATAGAATACACACCTACATTCACACACTGATTCTTCATAAAAATACACTTCACATACTGACTTACCACAGATATACACCTCATATTCACACACAGTCTGCAAAAAAAATCTAGCTATCATCTATTTCACATACTGAGGCATCATAGAAATACACCCCACATTCATACCTGCTTCACTGAAATACACCCCACATTCACACTATTAGCAGAATTACATTTCACATACACATACTGAACCTTCATAGAAATGTAGTGGTTTTGGGCCTGAGTTAATGTAATTTGGAATGTGGGGATTATCGTTATTAGTGTAATGTAATTGGAGATTGATATATTGCAATTAGGAATATTGTGCAGAGGTTTATGAGAACATTAAACATTGGATCTATAGGTCATAATGAAGAGATTATGGGACCTCATTTTTAGACTTTGCCTAAGTCTTGAGCTGCCTTTGATTGAAACACCTACCTCCTGTCTGTTTCTAAACAGGGCAATCCTCCTCAATGATGCCGACGCCTCGGCTACATTGCCAACATGCCAGCTTCTAAATGGTGTAACATCTGTCACTCCATTCCTATACTCCCTAGCACTAGCAATGTCAACTAGGAAGTAACCATAGCAACCACAGTGCAAGCTCTATGGTTGCTTTGCTTGAGGAGCAGGAGGACCACCTGATCACTACTCAACCAACAACTCCATATTGTGATCTAAAAAACGTTTTTTTTGGTTTGGTTTTGGCTTTGCATATAATTAAGTATAATATTGGTACAGCAATAGCATTGCCATAGTTTGGGGATGTTGCTGATGGTGCATTATCTTATTATAAAGCACCCGCTGCAAGAAAACCACAGCCGCAATGTTTGTGTAAAAATGCAGGAAATAAATATTATGATAAACTAAAACTTGTTTCAGACATGTTGCAAAATTGATACATGAAAAGTAATGAAAATGCTTGGGGGTATCTACTTTAGAAAAAATCTAATTTCGAGGAGGCAATTTCAGATCATCTTTGCCAAGCCATACTTTCCAACATTTCAAATGAACAGAAAGAAACAGATTTATTGAAGACGTGTGGCATAATGCAGGACGGTTATGCAGATGCATACCTAGAGTATTTGGCACCTGGGGCGGGTCCTATTTTTTAGCACCCCCACCTTTAAAATGTAAAAAACACAACCTAATTTTTTTTAAAATGTATTTAGCACTGAGAAGTGTTTGTGTGTTTGAATGTTTTTGTATGAAGTGTGTTAGAGTGAATGCAGTTGTGTGGTTATATATAGTGGTGTGGTTTGTATGTAGTGTTGGCGAGATTCTGAGATGTATTCACATATACACATACACACACATATATACACGCTGACACACATGCAGATACATATACACACAGGTTCACACATACAGATACATAGACACACGCTGATACACATGCAGACACACGAATCTAGGAACCATACATGGGGGGCACATAAGATACAAAACAGTGCCCTGGCAGGAGGGGGGGCATTAAAACTTTTTACTAGGGGATGGGGTAAAGTCCTGCCATTTTCTGCCTAATGCCCTGCATGCCTGGCATCAGACAACAAATTTGCACAGAACTCACATTAGCCACCCAGATTTCTTGTTGTGGGCTGGCTGACATTTCTTAATTTCAATCTTTGTTTATCAGATAACTCCCCTATTTGCTATCCTAATGTGGGATTGCCATATTTAAGGACACCAAATAAGGGAGCTATCTGCTAAACAGCACACTAATTTGGCATCTTTAAATATGGAATTCTCACATAAGGGCACCAATTTAGGGAATTATCTACTAAACAGCTAAACGATCAGAATTTTAAAAGCCCTTTTTTTAATTTTAATCTTTCAGTTGTTTAATAGATAACTCCCTTATTTGTTATCCTTATGTGAGATTGCACGATTTAAGGACACCAAATAAGGGAGCTGTCTACTAAACACATACACTTTTATATACACACACAATAGATGTATGTCTGTGTGTGTGTAAATCTATGGTTGTGTGTGTAAGTGTATATATAATAACAATTACAGACACACAATCACATACACACACAAACATCACATACATACACACATTTAATAATTAAGAGGTCCACCCAGCCTCCCGCCCTTGCTCTGGGAGGGCTGGAATGGATCATCAGTCCCTACTGGTCAATGGTTGGTGCTGGGATCTCTATGCTCTTCCTGCACAGGTCCCTCACGTGCCCTGTAATGACGCCAATGCTGGGATGACGTTCTATCCCTTCTGCCAGCTCACTGCACACAGTTTTACACATATACTGTCAAATACAGCAACAGGCACATAGTCACTCGCACATAGTCAAACACACAGTTACAGGCAGACAGTCACACACAAACAGTTGGAGTCAGACAGTCACACACACACAGCTACAGGCAGACAGTTACACACAAACACACCGTTACAGGCAGTCACACATACAGTCACAGGCAGACAGTCACAGTCAGACAGTCACACACACACACAGTCACAGGTAGACAGCCA